TTTTTTTAATAAAAACTATTATATGTTACTTCTAATGCCTCCAAGAACATGTGTACAAAATTTCATGATGATCGATTGAGTAGTTTTCGTGTGAAACCGTAACAAACAAACTAACATTCGCATTTATAATATTAAGTAGGGAAGTAGGGATTCATGATAATAATTAAAAATCTTCACAATATATACTTCATTTTCATTACGCGTTTCAATAGTGTTATTGATTTTTACCAAGTAATGGACGTAACGGTTCAGTGTATTAAAATAATTACATATACGAGGTCTCTTCAAAAAATAAGGTGAATGTTCAAATTTCACGGAATGCGTATATTCGATTAGCATTTTTTTTTATGTTGATACATTCATCTCGAACATATGTTCAGAGTTTCAGATGTTTATCATACTTGGTTTGTTGGCGAGAGGCATCAAACTTAGAAGTGTTTTACGTATTCGGCGATTTTCTGCCGTAGAAAAAATGGATCAGAGAATTTGCATCAAATTTTGTATAAAGAATGGAATTGAGTGCTCAACAACACTTGAAATGCAATTTTTCGTAAATTTTTGGCATGAGGCGTGTAGCAGCAAAGTTCGTTCTAAAATTACTGAATTTTGACCAAAAAACCGTCATATGAGCATCGCTCAGAAATTGTTGAATGACGTCAATAGCGATCCAGATTTGCTCAAAAAGGTAATAGCTGGTAACGAATCATGGGTACATGGTTATGACATCGTAACCAAAGTCCAATCGTCCCTTTGGTAGAGCCCAGGAGAGCCAAAACTAAAAAAAGCACGCCAAGTTTGATGAAATGTCAAGGATTTGCTCAGTGTTTTCTCCGATTACCGTGACGTAGTACATCAGGAGTTCTTGTCACATGGTGGTACGGGCAATGAAGAGTATTATCTTGAATTTATGCGCCGCTTGCGAGAAGCAATACGAAAAAAAATGTCCGCTATTGTGGAAAAACAAGTCGATTATGGACCCGCTCACTCGGCATTGCTTGTTCGTAGTTTTTAGCCAAAAACAACACCGTTATCATGCCTCAGCCACCGTACTCATCAGATTTACCCCCCTGCGACTTTTTCATATTCCCAAGATTGAAGTAACCCATTAAAGGACGGCGTCTTGCAACTATTAAGGAGATTCAAACTGAAAAGCTGAGAAAGCTCAAGGACATACCAAAAAAAGTATATCATAACTGCTTCGAGGACGAGATAGAAATTGATGAATAAATGAATATTTTTTGAAAAATGAAAATTCACCTTATTTCTTCAATAGACCTCGTATTAAACGTCTTCTGGATCTGTCATTCATCCTCGTTATATATTTTTGAACTATTTTTCCACCGAGCTCATGTTCTTCATGATTTTGATTAATTTATTCATTCATTTTTAGTCCCAATTTAGTTTAGATAAACATAACTTTATTAGATATAGTACGTGAGGATAATGAAAACTGTGTCTCTCGACGCGCGATTTGCTAACTAAGTTAGCATCATCAGGAGATGACTGAGATTGTGAAAAGTGTTTTCAACAGATTCATTTCACACCAGAGGTTCCACATTTCATCTATTAAGATGTTTCTACATGCTATTAAGAAAATAAAGTATTATTAATATTATTATTACGTGAGATTTTAAAATTGTTTTTTGTAGTCGTTATATGCAGCTTACCTTAAATATATCTTGTACATTCTTTCTAACAGAAATACTGGGTCACATACTGATGGTCTATCTCCCTCCAGTGAAAACATTTTGAAATTAGTGTGGCCAATTCTGAATGAGGTACAATTATAATTTTTTCTTTTACCTTGCATGCCGATAGTTGCACATGTCAAGCCGTCACTATTCATTTTACTACTTGATCAGTATCTTTCGTTGCAGTTTTTTACACCTATCGGCTTGAAAAACACTACCTATTTTTTGTCTTAACAACTATTGCGTTATCATTGCTGTGACAAAAGGTAGCAACAAAAAAGATATAACAGTATATCTAGAGCAGCCTTAGCAGTATACATATAGCAGCATTTATACCGCTTTCTATCCAAGGAGCTGCTCTTATTGTATTCTAATTTCTCCTCAAATATGATTTCAAACCATGAAAGTTTGTTTAAATTTCTACATACATATCTATATTATGTGATTACGCTTTGACTTACAAAATGTTTTTATCTGGTAATCTCATATTATGCCCTTCTTTAGTTTCAGACCTAAAGTATCAACTGACGAAGACTACATCTCTATAACGAATGATCGCACAGGATGTTGGTCTAGTGTTGGTAGGATCGGTGGACGACAACTTTTGAATCTCCAAAGTCCCTCGTGCACAACAAAAATTGGAACCCCTGTACATGAGCTAATGCATGCTGCTGGTTTTTTGCATGAACAAAATCGATATGAAAGAGACGACTATGTAACAATTGTTTGGGGAAATATTAAAAGCGGTAAGTAAATATGTTACAAACAATAACTATCAGATATTTAAGAGCAAATTGTATTTAGAGTAATACCGCCTTTGAGCTATTTAGATCGGAAGAGCNGGGTATGAGAATAAAGTGCTAATTAGGTGCTCACTAGATATTTATAGTAAATCTAGATTCCATAATTCATATGGGGCTTATGAACCCAATAACCACCGTGGACCCGATAACCACCATTAAAAAAGAAATGTTTTAAAATATGTTTTTTCCGTTAACCAGCTATCGCACCCCTACGAACGGTAACCCTCAGAAATCGAAACTTGTGCGAGCTAAGAACTAACGAGGTCTTACCTTTTAACGTGTGATTCCTAACACGGGTTGGACGATAGCAAGTGAAAATTGAGCGTTCAGCTTGTGGCTTGAAGCATCGACTCACACATCGGCCGATTGACTGAGTGAACAAAGCATCCACGTCGAACCGCCTGGCTACCGACCGACCGGTCGGTAGCCGGGTAGGTTAACGGAAAAAACATATTTTATACATTTTTTTAATGGTGGTTATCGGGTCCATGATGGTTATCGGGTCCATAAGCCCCAAATGAATTATGGAATCTAGATTTACTATAAATATACCTAATGAGCACCTAATTAGCACTTTATTCTCATACCCTTACTTGTCGAGGAATGTACTGTAAGAACTCAGCATCACTCAGCAACGTAACGTTGAGTATTGAGTTGCGGTGTAAGTTACAGAGCACCTAATTTTTGACTTCGGTACCTGAAAAGCACCTAAAAAGTACCTAATTTTGGCATTTTCTAAATGCGATTTGTGTACTTTGCGTTGCTGGCGTAACAGAGTTGGTTTAGGTTAGTATAGATCTAATAACCGTTTGATATTCATGAAAATAATCATATAATTTTCACAATAAATTTTGTTTGGGACGAGTTTTGACTGGTGCCAGTCCAACTGATGAAGCTACCATGTAGAAAAACGAAATTTATTGTGAGAATTGTGTTATTATTACCAAGGTTATTGTTACTAATGTTTATCAAGTAATGAGTTAGTGTGTTTGTAACAGTTCGTTAAATTCTTGCCTCTTCTCGAGGCAACTTTTGATTTCAACAGTTTCACCATCTTCCCTGCACATATATTTCATCCTTTGATTGTTCGAAATAATAAATTAGGGCACCTACCACAGAAAGGAGAATTGAAACTCCTTTTAAAAATATATACCACGTGCCTTTATCCAAGCTATTTATTGGATTGGAAAGCAAATTTAAAAAATATAAAGTGTGTTTATCAGTAGAATTATTTAATGTTTTATTACTTTGAATATATTCTGAACATTTTCGTGAATCAAACGCGAAAGTGTATCGGCGTTATATTTCTCGAAATATTATCTACATAACCTTGTAATTAAAACTTATCTTTCAGGTCATGAAGGGAATTTTAATAAAGCTGAGAAGGGTACCGCACAAGGCTACGGAATACCTTATGATTTCAGATCAGTTATGCATTATTCCAATACAGCATTTTCTATTAATGGACGACCAACTATTGAACCAAAGGTGAGTGAACTTATCTATTGGATTCGAGAAGCTGATTAATTTTAGTTTGGGTTGAATATATAATATATACATAAACATGTATATACAATATACATTTTCCCTCTTCGATTAAATATGCTTTAATATTTTCCATTATTCGTTCTTGTGAATTTAAATGAAATTTTTGCTCTCCACTTTTTTCTCCTGAGAGATTTCCACCTCCAATTTTCTCCCTTTATAACCATGTATTTACTTACATTTTTTATTCCTTTGCATTCACATTTTCATTAGGTGTATTGTACTTTCTTAGTTCTCAGAAAAATCATCGTTTTCAAAACTATCGGCCGTCATCCATCTAAGAAGTGATGGCGATTATGGGGGATGAGGAACATTACGTTATTTTCATGGAATCGACAGCCTGGGGAGTTTTGCGATTATTTTGTTAACGTCTAATACCTACGCTTGGTAGCCTGACATGTCTAGAGTTATATATTTTTTATAGATTACTTACTTATCCGTGTAAAACTACTCAAGATAAATATTATTTTAATATTTGTTGCAAAAATTACATTTATTGGCTAGGTTAGGTTACATGTCATATTTTGTTTTATTGAAAATTTCACTATGGAGATAAAAATTTGTGATACATCATATGTTCTTCATTTTGATTGATATGATTGTTAAATACATTCGTAAAATTTTCAATTAGCAACTGAATTATCGCGATCACAAGATCACATCCCACAAAAATGAAGAATTCAATGTATTACTTATAACAGTAGAAGCTACTCTAACCTATCCGAGCCGACAATACATGTAGAAAATGCAACAAAAAGTGAAAATATATTTTATATTATTATCATCCAAAAAAGTCAACTAATAACAATTGAAAAAGAAATAAAAATATGAAGTACGCCAGTTATGTTAGACTACCAAGGATATTTTATTGAAAAGTGTAGTATGATAATGCCATTTTTATCGACCTTTTTGGGTATTTTCACCACCCACAATATGAAAAATATGATAATTATAATGGAGAACTTTATACAGGTGTAGAAAGGGTAAACTTTTTAGTTTACCCCGATAATTTACTGGGTAAAATCAAAGTATTTTTCACAGAGAAAAATGTATTCAATAATTTTGCCTATCAAGAAACGAGCTAAGGAATTTTGCAACACTTATCAAAACGTTTCAGAGTCCAAAATCTGTCTCCGTCTTCAGAAATGAACAAAATTCAAATATATATGAAGTTATTCCTTTGCTGATTGCTCTTTTGATATCTATCGAAGAAGTTATAAAAAATCAGCAATCCACAAAGGAATAACTGCATATACCTATATTTGAATTTTGTTTATTTCTAAAGACGGAGATAAGTTAAGATAAGTATTGTATTATTTCTTAGCTATTTTCTTTGTGAAAAATAGTTTGATTTTATGTAGTAACTTATCTGGGTAAACTAAAAAGTTTGCCCTTTCTACACATAACAATAAAAAGGTACATGATAATTTGTGTTTAGTGAAGTTTTTTCCCAGCACCAAACCGTTTTTAAGGCCATGTCATTACAACAGAAGTGTATTTGCAAATATATGCTACGCAGTAACAAAATAACCGCCAACGTACCAAGATATATTTTTTCATTTCAATTTGCCTAACATCTCCCACGAAGTCGAACTTCAATTATCAAGTTTTTCCAAGCAAATTTGATCAAACTGAAGTTTTTGATTCGTTTTACAATTTCAAGAGTTCTATTTCCTGCCTCCTGCCATTTTTAACGCAATTATCAATAAGACTCTACTGATGAGAAAGTTATCCATACACCAAACATCTTCTGTTACTACCCGACTCCGAAATTCGCAAATAAATAACACAAACGTAAACATATTACATAAAACATTCGAGTATATTATGTTTGTGTAATCTTTGGGTTTGAAATATCTTTGTTTTCAGATAAGTCGGTTATTGTATCGTCACTTGTTTAGTATCGTATTATACAGGGCATTTCAATTAAAATGAACCACCCTGAATAAGTCTGTTTATACTGAGAATTTAAAAAAATCGTGAAGCAGGGCATTTCATTTGGGAGCACAATTCAATGTATCAGCCACTACCGCCCCGAGCAACCCTCAAGTGAAAAATTTCAAATGGAAATAATCGAATGGCATCTTATTTGAAAGGTCTTTCAATTCTGTATCCAAATCTATAACATGTTTGACATTGAAACGATATTTGGAAGCAAATCCAAATGGTAAAGGATATTTCCATTTGCCGTATAATCAAGTTTTGCCTAGTATCAACAAAGCCATCCAGTTAAATTCTCCAATGCGAAATGCCGTAGTTTTTCAATCAGATGGGACACCTTCTCATTTTGTTTAGTACAAGTCGACTTTTTCCCTATGGTTTCTGATATTCTTCAGAGACAGGAAACAGAAGCTTCCTTATACAATGATATGAAAGTGAATGAAGCTCACTTTGAATATTTGATTAGGTTAATTTACCTCTTTAGTTTTCCTTTCTAGTTCGAAATTGAATACAATCTGACATTGCTTATGATGTAATGGCAAAACGGTTACAAAATTGTATAGGCAATTGAAAGACCTTTCAAATAAGGTATCACTGGACTATTATTCCTTTTTGAAATTTTTGATACGAAGATAGTTATGGGGTGGATTCCCTCTCTATCTGTAGAGTAGGGAGGGT